CCCCCAATCGCCCCCCCCACATCATGAACATGCTTATCCTGCAGTTTTCGTCACTTTTTAAATTAATTATATTCTGTACAGCGTGCAGGGGAGAAACTAGGAAGTGTCTGCAACAACCCCACACTAAAAATATACTTCTGGTCTATTATCCCTTTAAATAATTTTTACAGCAGATATTATTTAGCTTTAAAGTAGCTAACCCATAGGAAAACGGATGGCGTATTGCAGTTGTAACCTGGGTAAAATTGAAACCTGATACTGCGGTGAATGAAGGGCAAAAAAGAACAAAACTTCAACTCCGCATAACGCTTAGGGCCGCGCACAGCAACTGTATAGCTGTTTAGAAAGCATGCGAATACCCACTACTGTGTACCCCATGCTACAAAGAATGCCTATTGAATGGCATGCCCAAGTGCACAAGGTATAGCAAGCGTTGCGTACCATCCACGATGCAGTGCCAAAGAAAGCAGTACGTAACGGGAAACTCCACCCCAGGCAACTCTGCGGTAGAGGCGGAAATACACGGATTTTCCACTGCTGTATATATCGGTGGAAGATTCGGTGGGACACTGCGCCAAGAAGAAAGCGTAGGCAAGGCACTAGCAGCAATGCTGTTTCGCCGAAACAGCTTCATCTGAGTGGCCTCATAGCGCACCAACTTTATCATAGGAGACCACAATATTTCTGCAGATAACAAGGTATGCATGCCGCTTTCCAAAATTTAGGGCTTGTCGTGTTCGGACTGCGGCGGTGGCAGACTGAGCTTCATTGAGAGGGTGAGTTGTTCTGCTGCACAGGAGAGCTCATCAAGCTCCTGCTCCGCTAGACTCCTCTTCTTTAGCGGCAGTTCCGGAGCGCTCTGCATAGCCAGGTCTGGCGACGACACTGCAGAATGCGGGTTAGAGGACACTAAACTAGGAGAAGGCGCATCACTGTGTGAGGATGGAGACATCCGAGACGGATGCGGACGCTCCTTTACATGTGGCGAGCCCGCTGTATCGGCAGTGTGGGCAGGAGAGGAGGGTCGGTTGTCTTGGGCGCTCATCATATGGGCCCCCTGAGGAACCTGCAAGAATTGGCTTGATGACGAAGCCTGGGGAGGCGCAGGGATGGGCCCCGTGCTGTCTAAATGCTGCTGCTGACTCGCTGTTAGAACCATCCTCATGTTCAAAAGCTCCCTCATGTACTCCAACTCTTCCCGCCATGTGTCGATTCTGAAGAGGGTAATAAATCAAAGCCTTCATGAAAAATGATATATAATCTCCTACAAACAGACTAACATATACCTATGAAATTCAGGACGGTCAAAGAAAATGCTGCGAGCAGGTAGGCCCACGCATACACCCTCATTGCATTAGACTGTACGAGCAGTTAAACCTATGTGAAGTTAGTTTAGGCACCGGAGTCTTACCGATATTGCAGTCTGATGTTGCTGACGTTTGTTCTTCTCATGTCATTTCCTTTGCAGCCCGGCAGCCAGTAGGTCTCTCCCAACCAATGTCTCTTGAACTCGTCCTCGAACCCACTAAAAGCAAGCAAAGCATGCAGCAGGAAATGACGGTTAAAACTGCTGTGGAATGGGAACGTTAGAGCAAGGATAAAAACAAACAGTCTAGAGTTGCAACGGGATAATGCAACTTGGCGATCGCACAGAACCACTGGCAAGAATTGCAAACCGTATGCACCGGGAGAAACGAGGCATTATATGACTAGTTAAGGCACACGAACAAACAAGACGGCAGAGGCCACCTAATGATGCTCGAGCAGGCTCGCCTACGAATTGCGAGCCGCGAAAAAGCCATGCACGCAGGTGTGGCAAAAGACCGCTCATCTAAGCAATCACTTGTTCGACAAGGGAATAAATGAAACAAACAGCTCCCGGGCTCAAGGGAAGCATCCATCCACCACCCTATGTACAGGCAGGGGAAGACATTTCGTTGTTTGCATGCCTGTTTGTGGGAATCACGTTTATTTTGTACTCATCAAGCTCTTCATGGGTCTACTGCGCTATCTTTCTGCTCTTCATCCCGCATATCTCTGTATTTGTGCTACCGTCCATGCGAGTCGCTTTCCAGTGGCGTGACTCTCTCAGCCTAGACTTATCCACTGGTTTTCACCTGTCACTGCTCCCTTCTGTCAAGGGTGACGTCCCCACATGCACCCGCACTTTGCTCCCTTGCTGCGTGTCTCTTTGTGTATGATGCTATTCCAGGCTCCCGCGGTAAACAATCAACCCTACAATCCGCTAGTGTTACGTTCTACTAAAAGGTTGCTGCTTCTTGACCAAACATAGCCGCAATACAGCCAATGAACGATAAGAAGGAATAGGAAGTGCGCACCAAGAAAAGGGCTCACCTTTGCAGCACGGAGTTCCTTGCTAGTTCGCAAAGATCAACAGGAGACAGCTTCCAAACATGCTGCAGAAACAATCTAACGGATATTAAAAACAACAATTAAATACTTCAACATTTTGCAACGTCTAAAACGTTGTGCTTTCACTGTAGAAAGTACGGGTAAAGTGTACCTCTGAGATATGAATATGTCTTAAACGTTAGCGCATACCAGCATGCACGGCTCGTGAATACACATCTATGGAAGAGACCAAAAAATGAGAACTGTGCACCTACGAATGCGTCCACGGCTTCAGAGAACTACGCAACAAATGCCATTCCTTCACAGCATGCCTCTTTTTGAGTTGCATCAAGGCACTGCCACCTATATTGGAAGTGTGCATATGCATATACAGTCACGTTAAGTGTTTCTATCCAATAACTTTCGCATCGAAATATTCAAGCCATGCTGACTGCTGCGATCGAATATTCTTCTAGGAGGGGTTCGTCGGTAAAATGGAACATCAGCGGGTCGTCAGTAGATAAAGACACGTTTAATCCTATCTTGAAGAAAGAATACAGGGGGTTCTTTGCTGCAGGCAAACAAACGAGCCACAAGCAAGTAAGGGGGCCAGCAATGGGTGTATGACTTTTCAGTGGAAGTATGCATGGAGAAAACGGGCCACCCAGAGCGACCGTTGCAGCGAGTAGAGATTGGCGTTAACGATTGAAAGTTTCTACAATGTATTCCCAACCGCAAGCTACTCCAGAAGAAAACTGATCAAGACACCAGTATACAGGAAACGAGGAAAACTAACGACCACGCAAAATACAAGGAAACGAATACGGGCGACGAACGCACTTATGTCCATGAACAGGGCGTTGTTCGAAAGGGGGGACACCGCAATGCCGATTTGTTTGAGATAAAACATATATTCCAACACTGGGGCCCCTTTCAGCAAAATTCCGTGGTTTATTCCGTCAGCTAGGAGGAAGGCTGCTGCCAAGTGACTTGTGCTTCCCGCCTCTCCACAGTGGGGCCTACGAGTAAAGGCAGACGACAAGCCACCAGCCCAAGGCCCTAAACTACCAACAGACAGTTCGTCGCCAACTAACTAGTACACAACTAATACATTTAGAACACTGAGAAGGGTCAGATTTCTTACCGACGTAACTGCCTATCTTCGTTCACAAAACATAAGTACGTGCAGTTTTACGCATGTATGCACACTGAGTACAGGATATGCAAGTTTGGAAACAATTTAGAAACCCTCGCCATTGCCTTCTGTGCACTTGTATGTGTGCACCATTTAAGCAGGCAGGCGTTCATAAATACAAAGAAATAAATGCAAGTCTGCCAAGGAGGGCGAAGCTAACCTGAAGCTGAGAGGCCTCATATTCCTGGCTTCGAGAAACAAGTTCAGCGCGCGAATGTTAGCATACATGTAAAATATCCAGTAAGAATACGGTGGGTTGCTAGAGCTTGTCCAATCGGAGGGAGCGGGTAGTTCTCCACCCTCCATTGTGTACTTAGAGACCCTCGACTCGTCGTCAACAGAGTCAAACCCAACCATCTTCAGCAGTAAGTGCACAGGTGCACACGAAGAAAAACCACAGAATGTCCCACACGGTGACTCGATGAAGGAATTCAGACGAAAAGACACATGGGAAATTACTGTATGTGTAATACAGTACGGACGCCTTTGCACTGCAGGTCAGGTGGTATGCACAAGCATGGCATACATAACGCAGCCCAGCAAAGTTTATCCATCTTCAACTAAACAAGCCACAAAAGAACCCAAGAGCAGGAACTGCACGACGGTGCACAAGAGGTGTTCTAGACTGAAACGGAAAAGAGAGGATGAGGTGACATATATGAGGCACAAATGAAGCAAAACGCGTCCCTAGACAAGCAAGCAAAGCTAGCAAAGGGTTTAAGGTGTTCAATTTCGTCCTACGGTTTGCAGGAACAGAAATATCTTCCGATGGCGTGCGGGGTTCTTCACAGCTTCAAACAATGGCTCAAATACATTTCTTAGTAATGTACCAAAGCACTCTATCTCCCCGCGCTTTCGGTAGACGTGATAGAGCCTGCAAAAAGTTACACGAAGCAAAAAACACAAAGAAAGTGGGGACAAACCGGGAGGTCAAACAAGAAAGGGACTCAAGTAAAAACGGGCGCCTGCAAAGGCGAAGAGACAGGCAAAAACACAACAGGAGACTCACAGAAACGAACAAGAAACGGTACGGAGCGTGAAAGGGAGATAAATGGGAACATAAAAGATGCATACAGATTCGACTGACTTAAGCCTTCGGGCCTGGCACGTACAGAAGCCATTGGGGTACTTGCAAAGCATTTGCCACTGGCGAAATGGAACGAGAAAGTTTTATCCGTCAAGCGTCAACAAAACCTCACACTTTGAGCAAAATGCTCATAATGCATCTCTGTACCTCGGGACCTGAATTATCCAGCGAACGCGACGAGAATGGAGTTTATTGTCGACCACCCAGGAAGCCAGTCGTTCCCATTCCTCGTATGATCTTCCGTAAATAGACAGGCGCCATTCTGCATGCTGATATCTGAAGGCCACCAAACAGAAACAGAGTAGCCATGCCTGTTACACTGGCTATACTACATTACGCTGCACGCTCGTTATTGCATTATGATATTGATTTGTGTGTTGCTGCAAACATCATATCTTTTCAATGTTTTATCCACTCCACTTCGGTTTTCCAATTGCAATGAAAACTACATAACATTTGGCTGCCCAATTATGCATGAAGGGTACACAAAACCGGCCACTGCCTTATTGTCTCGAACTGCTTTATCACTGCAAATTTCGTAGCCAGATTACGCACTTCGAGAAAACAGCCGTCTGATTAGCAAAGAGCGCATCGGTAACGTCGCTAAGTAAATGCACTACCTTCTGGAATAAACCAGCAATTAATATTTACAGAATTCGCTCTCTATGAAGCAAGTGAAAAGCCAGCCGCTCGTATGACCCCACAGTAATTCATAACTTAACAACATCGTTGCAATAAACAAAACAAACAGTCCAAACGATAAAAGAGGCCTTACTTCCGGTCATCCAGGTCTGCGATAACCTCCTTTGTCAATTCTGCGAGAAAACGGCCTGAAGAAGAAAGGCAGGACCAAGGGGAGACTGAAAACTGATCCGGCTTCTGGGCACAGGAGAACAGCAAATGCAATAGGGCAGCGAAACACACACTCTACCTTTTATATGGTTGTCAGTCTTGAGGAAAACATCCCTCAAGCACGCTTGCCCAAAAGGATTATATTTTTGATTGAACAGATCGAATCGTTGGAAACAAGAACCTGCGCAAAAGCGTCAAAATGCATCGTACATATAGATGACCCAGAGAAGCTCGGACCTCTTCCCACCAGCCATGCCAAATACGGTTCCTTTCACACCAATGGCATTCAAAAATTACTTAAATGGGCAGTTTCTCTCTTATCAAACTGCGTTTGTCTCCATCGTCCTGCCGCGCACTTCTACATGTTTTCCCTCACATTCTCTTACCGAGGGCATGGACGTTTAAGTGGTCAACGGAAGCTTCACTTGCACTAAACCCCAGTTCTTTTTGAAACAAGCCCTTTAATGTAATACCCTGGTCGCCTTCCATCGCTACAACTGTGTCTCCCTCCGTCCTGTATTTTTTCCTGCGCAAAGCACGATGAAGCCTACAAAGAGTATTGATCAACGTGTTTGCGCATACGCGCATCCACCCTGCGCCAAACGGGGGATATATTGGCATGGCTATATGCGTAATCTCATGTTCGTGCTGGTACAAGACTATATACGCATCGTCGCTTCAATCTGCAACGAGCAGATTATGGATGCGACCAAGCGAATCGGCTTATCAATATAAAGAATCACGCATAGGCCCGTATTTACGCAAGAACGTGCACTAAGCTTCTACTACAGTATTGGTGAATAGTGACGATGCCCTATTCCACTCCAGAAAGCAGCACAACAAAAAACTGGCGGAAGAGGATAAGTCTTTACCTGATAAAACGCAGTAAATGTTTCTGATGCATACAGGCCGAATGGTGAACATGCGTGTCGACCTTTCTGACATTGTAGAAGTCTCTATGCTTGTTGTGTTTGGTTTCTTCGATCTCCGCATCTATAAGAAAAATACCGTATCAGCGAGAGGCGATACTGAATATCAATAACTGGTGAGGGAAGAATAGGTAAAGTCGGGAAACGGCGATCTCGTTACAACGGCATAAAACCTAACAGCGCAGAGCTAAATTTAGGTTCAAACCGATGAAGATCTTCAAACTTCGGGGGAAGAGCTGTATACGCTGGTTCTTGTATTTGGTGCATCTCACTAGAGTTAAACATTAGGTGAAAACTAAACTTTCCCTCCAAAAACTTAATCCGCCTGTAGCAAAACGTCTTGCAGGCTGCTCACACGAAGCAAAGCGGCAAGCATGAAGCCCATCCACATGCGCATACTACACCAATAAGGACGTGCTGCAGCTCTGTACTACTACATTGTGGAAGCTGCTGCAGGACTGCTGTATTCGGATGGAAGAGCTCTAGTGATAGGCTTGCGTATACCTAGGAAAGGGCTGCAGTAATTACCTGGATCCTGGACTGCTATCATCACGTCTTGCAAAGCAGCGAGGTATTCTCTAACAGTTGGGATTAAATCGGGATTCCACAGCAAGGGCGGGTCCGGAGTTTCTCTTTCAGGGTCCCAAAAAACCTGTTGTGCAGGTGGAGACAAGAAGCGGTAGGCAAACTGAGCTGGACCCTTGTAGAATAGCACACTGTCAAGCAAGTGAATGCCTTGCTCTCAGCTCTCTCCGGTGCGAATAAGTATGTTTAAGTGCATACAAAGCTGTGCTCCCTGCTTGCAAGGACACCAAATTTACGTGGCCTTGGTAGTGGTGGGATGCACACTCAAAGTCCGCACGACGCGGTATATCGAATCATACAAAGTAAAAACACATAACACATAGGCGGGAAGGCGCACGAGCACTGCCAACAGCCACCAGCACACTCGCGCGATCACTTCCGTTGTCAAAAAACCTGCTGATCAGCAATTCACGAATAAAATTCGTTTTCGTAGCCTGTATACCGCTCCTATCACTCCACTTATGTTTGATGTCGCGCACGTACATGCATTACGCCGTCAATGAACTTGAACTTAGCCGAACACCCATCTGGGGGTGTGACGCTGAAGGGGTCAAAGAGCGGTTCTTTGCTCATCCCCTCAAATGCCTTTTGAGATCCATCTAACCAGCTGCGATCTTCAGTGTCGACATCGTGCACTGTCACGCGACTCTCGAGATTGCACTGAGGGACGGATCTGTCCACCAGTCGCACGGCAGGGGAAAAGCGCGGCGTTCGGTACCGTCCTATGAACCGCCAGCGGTGGCCCAAAGCGTTCGCAAGCGTCTGCAGAAAAAGTCCACAAAACAATGAAATGTAAATATAAGTTAACATCGTTATGGTTGGAACCATCTTGCACTCATCTTAGGTAGGATTTCCAACAGAGGAAAATGGCGGGGAGCTGCATAACTACTTGAAATCAGCAAGATATATGTGCACCCAACCATAGTACAACATAAGTCACACGACGCATCAAAGTACTTCCAAGCCATTAAAGTTTCATGCTTCTTGCGTTTTTGGCAGCTAGTTGAATTAATAGATGCGACGAGTGCCGTGAATATACGGGGGACAATTGCCCCCCATTTCTGCTCACCTTTACTGCTTGAATCGTTTCATCAGAGGCAGAGGCGAGAATTGCCAAATCTTTACTCGGCTGAAGCTTGACATAAGAAACACCAGAGGAAAACAACTGCTTTGGTGCTGCAGGTACAACTGCCGGGCCTGATGCCTCCTGCACTCCATCATCACTGTCGGCTCTTTTGCTTAGGACCTGATGGAAAACGGAAAGTTGTGGGGATCCAACATAGAATGAACATTACAAAGCAAAAAGCTTGCCCAAAGTCGCAGAGAATATGTATCTACGGGAAGCCAGCTTCGCACTCTCTGGAGGATGTCTAAGGGAATAGCGACAGATGCAGCGTTTATGGAGATTTACATTCCTGAATATATCGTCCCAACCAACTTCTTTGCCTACTGATGACCTCCTAGAAAAGCTATGTAATTCCATTTCCTGGTAGACTTCCCTTCCTCGAGTGTTTTTTGAGCGCTGTCCCATAGGCAGCGTGCAAACTCACAACGGAAGAAGGCGGAGCGACGCAATTAAATGCGAACAGGGTGTATCAGTTTGCGCCCTTACATCCCCAATGAAAACACTCTAGTGAACCTCGAGAGACAGAAACTACTTAAAAGACGAGCATCCTTGAGTTGTTACTAGCTGACGATCGTGGGTGTCTCGAGACCGTTCGGAGATTAGCTGCAGAAGATGTGCAGCGAAGATTTGATGCAGCAAGAAACAGCAAAAAAGAAACCGAAGAATCTGGCAAAAATCTTTAATAGTCATGCATGTTAATGCGAGACATAAGTGGCGAATGTATTTCACACAGGCCCACCATGCAAGGCGGTACAGCCCCAAGTTACAGGGTCGGCCTTGCAGAATCTTCCTTGTGTTGCATCATTTTCTCTGCACTCGTGCTTTGTTTTGAACATTGCGTACAGTTCAGCTCATGTGTATCTCTGGTAGCCGTGTCTTCTCAAGTCTGGCCCTTCAGGTACTGCACTATCTACTGTGGGGAGAACAGGATGAAGATCGCAGCGTGTCCGCTGCACTGAAGTGCCATTTGCCCTCTTTAGGTAACTTGCGACCACAGTCTTTTCTTACTGTGACAGCAACCTGCTGTTCTTCTTACTGAAGACCGCGGTCCGAGAAACACCTACGCCAACGGCGCACCGGCTGCAGCTCTAGGGACTAGCACGCGTGACCTAGTAGCTTCAGCAGCAGCAGCTGTTGCGGAGGCAACTCCAGTTGCAGTGGAAGCTGCGACATCTGTTGTGTTTGCGGGATGCAGTCTACACTGCCGGCACTACTCGTGCCACAGACCGCACAACAGTTTCATAAGCATCGCCCGCGCTGGATCGTATCCTTTCCTCATCTTTCCTGTTAGACTCATCAAATGCCTATTCTTTGGGGTCCTCAAATGCTTTTCCTTCGTAGCCTCGGGAGGTGGGCACCCGACAGCTTGCCCCCATCCGTAGTTTCCTTGGTCTCGGCATGGCGAGTCACCGGGCCCCAAGGACAACGCAGCAGTTGCGTATTTGGGTGGTGTGTGAGTAAGGCAGGAGGAAAGACAAAATCGCGGGGGGGGTTTGGTCTGCACTGGAATATGGCCGCGTGCTGGGGATTCTCGCTACCGGTTGAGTGGTCCCGTTCCTTCAGTTCAGGGAAGCAGAAGTGCGGCGACACCGCAAAAGAGAAGAAGATGCGCCGAATGTTGAGAAGGTTAAACTACGTAGCACAAGAAGCACAGCCTAGGGAAAATACAAGGGGCTGTCAGACGCAGGAGCAGCAGCAACCGAGGAGGGGGCGCGGAGGAGAAAAAGACAGAGGAGACTATGATTCAAAGAAGACTGAGGCCGAAGCAGAGGCTGCAGTTGCGGCAGCTCAGCAGCAGATGAACGGGCATCTACGCAATCTCTCCTCACGTTTGAAAGATCTAGATGTATCGCGGCCGAAAATAACCACATTTGAAGAAATACAAGTGCAAGTTGCATGTAATCTTAAAACCCTCAACTTCTTGGCTGCAACATGTTGCGTGTGTCAATTTCTAAGCAAGGTTTTAGCTCACGCTTCGCACAGTGTGCTGTGGCGTAGCACAGTAGTAATGTCTGTGTCAGTCAAACATAAGGTCGCGGGACACAATAATGCAGTGCAACGTCGCGATCGCAGCGGACCCGGCACCTAACGCGCATTGATGTGGCATATAGAATATACCGATTTGTGGAGGAACACAGATCTTGTGGCGCAATACTTTGTTACGCTACACCACGCGCCATTTATTTAATAATTTGAAATTTCGCCAGCCTTAAAGTCGACGCAGAAAACATGGTGAAGACGGGATAGGTTGTTATTGCCATCCTTTATGAAGTATCATGATAGGGCACACTTTAGTCGTTTGGCTGTAGTTTTCGTTTTAGTCTTGCCTTATTCCCATCTATGGCGGTGACATGCAACGCATTGCACCTGGTTGGTGACTAAGAAGGGGAAGCGTCTCCACTTGGAGAACAGGAAAACAATTTGTTCGATTTTCTTGGGTAATTACCTACCTCTGTATGCATTGCCATGTCGGTTTTCGTATTTTCATTCTCGAAAATGACCGGGAGAGTAGCTGCATGCTCATGAGGGCAACCGTTCAAAAATTGAGATCGTGCATTGGGCTGTGCAGGCAGCAGTAAGCGGCTCAGTGATTTGGCCCAGGTGCAGATCAAGGGCAACTCAGTCGTCATCCTTACCCTATTTTCCGAGCAGCATCTTTCGAAGGTATTGTTTCGTATTGCTGCTACCTGCTTCATGATATTGCTTGAATTGCCATCCTCTATGCGGCGTTCGGTTCTGCCTCGGGTTCTGTTGCCTTTCCTGCTGCGACTACGCTGCAGAGTGAAGAAGTGTGAGTTTGCGCAGGTGATATCAGCATTAAGAAAGGCGGATGAGAATTGGAGGATTGTCGAGGAGGGACCAGTAACTATACGCGTGCAACTTCGAAAGGTAAATTATTGTACGGAGTGGGGGGGGGGGGGGGGGGGGGGGG